TTGATTTTTTTTTTATTTTATTAGGACAGTAAGGTCTGACTTTGCTTAGACAAAAGTCTTGTCACTTAACAGAAATAATGTACAGTATAGCAGTAAGTCATGGTGCAGTATAAAAAGAATTAATAATGTGCTTGTCTCCCATTAACTCCGACTACTGCATTCATACATTTCTGCAATGACTCAAATAGCTCATTTGAGCCAAAGTCATCTGGAATGGAAAACAAAGCGTTCTTGCAGGTCTCCCAAAGTTCATCAAAATTCTTTAGATTTATCTTTAATGCCTCCTCCTTTATCTTACCCCAGTGATGCTCAATAATGTTCATGTCTGGTGACTGGGCTGGCCAATCTTAGAGCATCTTGACCTTCTTTGTTTTCAGGAACTGAAGGTTGAGGCTGAGGTATGACAAGGAGCGCTATCCTGCTGAATATACTATAATGTAATGGGCAGCACAAATGTCCTGATACCCCAGGCTGTTGATGTTGCCATCCACTATGCAGATCTCTCGCACATCTCTGTACAGAATGTAACCCCAAACCATGGTTGTTACTTCACCTAACTTGACTGATTTCTGTGAGAATCTTGGGTCATGTGGGTTTCAATAAGTTTTCTGCAGTATTTGTGATGATTGAGATGCAGATCAACCGATGATTCATCAGAAAAAAATCTACCTTCTGCCACTTTTCCAAATTATCAACAAGAAGTCAAGTTATTATTACTTGTTGTTCTTACAACTGTGATTGATGACAAGACTTTTGTCTGGTAGTGTATGTCTTATAGATAATTCAGTTTTCATGACTGCAATCCCCAATTCTGTTTGTGTTTTTTAACATTTTTCAACTGTTTGCATTCCAAATTTTAACCACTTATGAATTTGTTTTAAATAAGAGTGAACTCATTGAGCACAGAAGCCGAGAAGCTTATTTATGCCTGATTATCCCCCACTTATGCTCCCCCATGGAGCAGGGATTGGCTAAGCATGCTGTTTATGCCACGTGCGATTGGTTGATGAAGCCGTCTGACTTGAAGCATGATTGGTGGATGGGATTAATCAGGGCAGCGCACCGAGAGCCGTCCTGCTTCATTTTGCATGCGATTGTCACTCGCTGTGCAAAGAGGACATTTGATTGTATATTCAAGGCTGAGGCACTGAAGATTAGAATCCGTTATGTTTTATCGGCTGAAAATGTCTCACGCAACATGCGGCAAAGCCAATCTCAGCGCCCCAAGTAAACAATTTGCCATTAATCGCTCATCCTGCTCAAACAAATAAATATTGATTCAGGTTTTCAGAAGACGCTTGCTCACAGATTTGTATCAGCAGCTGCAGAAAAAGCATCAATTGTTTTTATATCTGGCCGTTATGGCCATCATAATGTATTAACTCAGGATTTTTCAGTGTTAGCGCCTAGGAAGGGTTCATTTAATGTGAGGGTCTGTGATGTGTTACTCATATTTTTGTCTGGATTTCTTAATTGTGTATATATATATATATATATACTTATAAGAATACACTATAATTATATTGATATTTCTTGAATACATTTGCACTGTAATGAACAGGCATATGATATCTGAGTTTAATTAAATGTCAGGGATAAATTTAATTAAAGGGTTGAATTAAATAAAATTAAATTTAAGGGTAAAATAAAATAAAACAAAACTACATATTCACGTGGGTTTCTTCTGGGTGCTCCGGTTTCCCCCACAGTCCAAAGACATGCGCTAAGTGAATTTAATAAGTTAAATTGGCTGTAATGTATGTGTGAAAAAGAGTGTGTATGGGTGTTTCCTAGAGTTGGGTTGCGGCTAAAAAACGTAAAACATATGTGGTTTATTCTGCTGTGGCAACTCCAGATTAATACAGGGACTAAGCCGAAATTAAATTAAATTAAATTAAATTAAATTAAATTAAATTAAATTAAATTAAATTAAATTAAATTAAATTAAATTAAATTAAATTAAATTAAATTAAGCTGTGTGTATATAAACAGTGGTCATCCAGATTCCAGAACTGGTGAGTGAGTGAGGTGCCTGATGGGAAATGTAGCGCAGTTTGGCGGCAGAATTCATTACATATATTTTAATGTATTCATTGTATATATGCAATTTTTTATTTTTATAGAGTACTTAAATTAAAATTGACTTTGGCTTTACTGTATGTTAATTCCAAATGTTGGTTTCATGCATTTGGTTTCAAGCATTAACAATTCTGTGTTTATATAAATTATCATGGCTTAATTGATCATAAATTCATTTGTTTTCTTTTTGGCTGAGTTCCTTTATTAATCTGGGGTTTCCACAGCGGAATGAACCACCTTTATCATGAATATTATAAGGTTAATATATTTTATGCATACATACATTAAAAATCAAAATTTTATTTGACAAATCATTTAAATATTTATAGCATTATTGTGAGAATAAACATTTGGTTTTAAAATTTATGTTTATTTTATGTTTTTATCTTGGTTTTGAGCATTTTGTAGACTTTATTTCACACAAAAAGTGTGTTTCTTATTTAGTGTTTTGTCTTGTTTCAATTGGAAATATATATATATATATATATATATATATATTTAAGAATTAAGCCAAAAAGCATTTTCTAGACAAACAAACAAATATGTATTTGATGCAAAAACCTCAGTCTTATTCTCAGCCTCAGTTATTTCATGTTAAAAGTGATGAAAATAACCTATTCTCTGAAATTATTGAATCAAACCTTAAGAGCCTGAGAAAAATTCTAATATTTCAGATGGCACTTATATACATATATATGTATGTGTGTGTGTGCGTGCTTCCATGCGTGTGTGTGTGTAAATGTATGTACTGTATGTATTAGGTATGCCACGGTTCTCAATATAATATTGAACCGTTCGGTACGACCTCCACGGTTCAATACGCGCTTGTGAATTGCGGTTTTCTCGGTTTTGCGTTTAAATAATTTATGTGCGTTTCATATCTCCGCAAACTGACTGTGCGTGCCTGTGAGTCTATAAGCTGAGATGAGGAAACTCCTCCCCACAAGTAAATATCCGATCACTATGCTCAAAATTTAGGGGGCGCTTGACCATCATTCCACACTTTAACACGGCGAGCGGAGGTGAAGTGAGGCTGAGGAAACAGTACAAGGAAGTGCCTGCGAAGTGAGGCAACAGTACAAGAAAGCGCTGGCGTCTTTCAAATCTGCGATGTGAGGACATTCCGATTTTGCTGGAAAGTATAATGCCAATAAAAGAAAAACGGTGAACAAAAAATAACTGTGCACAAGCACTGTTTTACATGTATAACCATGACTGCACATCTGCAGCTCCATAACCCAGCTAAATCACTGTCTAAATGCAGTAAAGCAGGGAAGGTAATAAAGACCTTCAAATAGAAACAATCCCTCGCTGAATCTTTCTAGCAAACATACCCAACTAGTTCCGAGATACATAAAAATAACAAAGGCAGTCCGGGTGTTTATTGCTAAACATTTGCAGACATTTACGGTGATTGGAGATGCGGGATTTTGTCATCTTATAAAAGCACTCGATCCACGTTACAGACTACAGTCTCGCATATTTTCAGCACCGAAATAATTAAGATGGATTATTTATGTTTACTTAAGTACAAATATGCTTATTTGAAATGGCCAAATTATCTTTATTAACTTAACATGTATGTTTATTTTCAAAATGTAGGATTTTATGTGTTCCCCAGTTTGTACATGGGCTACCAGCCGCTGTTTTTTTTTTCTCCTTAACCTCTTACTGTTCCAATTGCCTATGGAATAAAAACAAAACAAAAAAACACGTGTCAAGCCATGAGAACCGAACCGAACTTAAAACCGTGTTAAAAACCCAGGTATGTATTGAACAGTGCACTAACTGTATTGTTGCATCCCTAGTATATATGTATGTATGTATGTATATATACACTTGAAGTCAGAATTATTAGTCCTCCTTTTTTTTTTTTCCCCAAATTTCTGTTTAATGGAGATATTTTTTTCAACACATTTCTAAACATAATAGTTTTAACAACAAATTTGTAATAACTGAATTATTTTATCTTTGCCATGATGACAATAAATAATATTTGACTAGATATATTTTTCAAGACACTTCTATACAGCTTAAAGTGACATTTAATCGTTAACTATTTGTGACATTTAAACTATTTAACTAGGTTAATTAGTTTAACTAGGCATGCTAGGGTAATAAGGCAAGTTATTGTATAATGATGGTTTGTTCTGTAGACTATCAAAAAAATATATAGTTTAAAGGGGCTATTAATATTGACCTTAAAATAGTTTTTAGAAAATTAACAACTGCTTTTATTTTAGCCAAAATAAAACAAATAAGACTTTCTCCAGAAGTAAAAATGTTATCAGACATACTGTAAAAATGTCCTTGCTTTGTTAAACATCTAGAAAAGGCTTTTTGTTTATACTCTAAGCAAGAAAAGCATTTTTGCAGTGCATCTACATCTTATTTTCCAACTATTTCTTTCGTTTGGCTCTTTCTCACATTAAATGAGATTTGTATTGAGTTTTATAATTTCTGTACAGATCCTCATGTATACAAAAAAAAAGGATCTTATCTGATTTTTTCTCACTTTCAATTCTCAATAAGCACATAGAGCGGCGCTGAGTGCAGAATTACGTTCCCTCCCTGTACAATTGATTTGTGAGTAATTAAAAATGTCTGCAGCTGGACATGGTCCAGCTTCATGTTCTATTCATGCAGATTAATACATATTTGTCGGGGCCTCCGGGATCAGACAGGCAGCAATGTCTCCTATTAAACATTCATGAGGGAGCAGAACGCAGGGACTCATATCCTACTAGTATTTATGGGACCATTTCTACATCTTAGTGCCATCATAATGGATTACGAAATCAGAACATTATTGCTTAGCTGGGATGGAAATTTAATTTGTGTCACAGAAATTTATTAATAAATGGATTTTTTTTCTTGGTAATTACGCTCACATGGATTGTCCGCATGTCTGTTTAATGCAGGTGGCTGGAGTGGGTGGGGCAACTGGGCGGAGTGTAGCAGTGAATGCGGGGGTGGAGTCCAGAAGCGAACGCGCAACTGTCAATCACCTCCTGATGAAGCCTACCTGTGCGAAGGTGTTCTGGAAGAAGGTCGTCCATGCAATGCTCAGCCCTGCATCGGTAAGTGTCAGACTAAATATATGCACGCATGTGACCGTTTACATATTCACTTCTTCCCCTGCTTTCACTTTCTGACACCTCATTTATTTTCATTCTTCACATTTCACTTTAAAAAATTATATATGTTCTGTTTCTTGTGTGACATAATGATAGAGCAGTAATGATAATATTGCTATGTAAGCTTTTTCTATGATTAACAGCCTTATGATTTCTGAGTTAAAGCTGTTTGAGGTTTAACTATTATAGATGTGGATGTCTTTTACGGTTTTGTCTTGTAATAAAATGTATTACAAACCCCATACAACTGATCTGAGAGTAATTAAAAATGCCTGCATGATATTCAAGATCTTAACTTCCTCAATAAGCCCTCCAGTGAAATTTTTATTCTTTTCTCAAATATTTCCTAAGTGATGTTTAACAGGACAAGGGCCTTTATAAGTATTTTCTATTATACATATTTATATGAGCAATATCACATGAGTAGCAGTGCGATATGGCTGTATATCGGCACTGGTGGGATGTGTGCATTAGTCAACACAGGCTCATTCTGAAAACCAAGTCCCGCGGACGTTTCTGGAGACCGCAAATTATGTAGCCGGAGCAAATTTTTAAGCAAATGCTACGGGGTGGTATGACACCATTACTTTTGGCGCTTAGCGGCTGACGGCTTACCTTCATGTGGAGGGCTTTACCAGCACAACCAGTTTGTTCAGTTAGCTCGTCGTGTATGTTGGCGGACTTGAGGCACAGAGAGGAGTTGACCACGATGACGACAACTGGGTTTGAGTCCAGGAAAGAGAGGTTCCAGAATCTAAAAAATAAAATGAAGTGAATCACAGGGTGAGAATGTGGTAAAATTTGAAGACGTTGTAAAAATCAGACGAGGGCTTTTCTTTTTCTGACCGGCTTTTGTAAACCGGTCGGTTGGATTTAGGGAAGTAAGCAGGTGGGCGGGTCAATCTGTAAAATTGGGTGGTTTTAGGGAAGGAGGAGGGTGGCTCGGTCGATTTGCCGGTCGCCCAGTCGCCCCAAGCCTGGGTTGGCGTTAGTGCCTTAGTGTCCCACCAGTCATGATATACAGCCAAATCGCACTGCTACGAGTGTGATATTGTGTTTATACAACATTTCGACAGCATAATCAAGTAAATAAAAAAGAAAACCAAACATAGTCTCAAATCTTTTTGTTAGAGGAACTACTTTCTTCAGCCATTCATTCACTTCTACAGCTGGTCAAAACAGCAGAAATCGTTGCTACTTCACCAGCTTCACTTTAGAGCTAGTATTTAAATGATTCTCTAATGTAATATCTAAAGTGATGACAAAACACTTTAAGATTATAAGGCTGAACGGCTTGAAATGCCATCAGTCTACAGAGATATCTCCCAGTATTTTTCTGTTACAATCGGGAGATCACATTAATAATCCCTGAAAATCCATAGCAAAGCAAACACTAACAGTTTTGTGTAAATACAGCACTATAACATAAACAAAAGAGAGATTGACTTAGAATGTCACTTACCTGATTTATAATGATTTGATCAGCTGTAGTTTAAAATACAAAAAGACAAGTCCCCTAAGGACTTATAATCTGTCGCCATCTTGTGCCGTAAGCATCTTTGCTCTGTTCAGTATGTCAGGCTTATGGCTGCCGATCTCCAAAATTATAGATATTTAAAATAAGCACTATCCTTATAAATAAATTGCTGAGTTGAAATTTAAACAACTTGATTCTCACCTAAAAAGCCTCAAAAGTACATTATGTTGCCCAACAGTTACAATATTTGTCAAACTGTAGAGAGTTTATTGATCTGCTGTCACTCTGTGGACGGAGTAAAACACAAGAGTGAAGAGGCTGTATAAGTGCTGTTATTGCAGAATATTGCATGGATTATCAGACAATCAGTTTCGAGAAGCAGACAGAACTGTTATATAAATATGTATACAATATGTATATTGTTCTGGAGAAAGTCTTTTTTTTAGGTTGATGGGGAAAAAGTGGTTTTATTATTTTTTTTACAAAACAAATTGTGGTCAATATTATTAGCCCCCTTATTTTATTTTATTATTTTTTTTCGATTGGCTTTAGAGGAAACCACTACTGTCCAATGACTTACCTAATTAACCTAACTTCCCTAGTTAAGCCTTTAAATAGCACTTTAAGATGAATGCCAGTATCATCCAAAATTACAGGTAAAATATTATGTACTGTAATCAGGACAAAGACAAAAGAAAAGAGTTATAGGAAATGAGTTATTGAAACTATTCTGTTTACAAATGTGTTAAAGTGGTGCAGTGGGTAGTGCTGTCGCCTCACAGCAAGGGGGTCACTAGTTCGAGCCTTGGCTAGGTCAGTTGGCATTACGGTGTTTGCACATTCCCTGTGTTCGTGTTGGTTTCCTTCGGGTGCTCCGGTTTCCCCCACATGCGCCATAGGTGAATTGGGTAAGCAAATTTGTTTGTAGTGTATGTGTGTGAATGAGAGTGTATGGGTGTTTCCCAGTGATGGGTTGCAGCTGGAAGGGCATCTGCTGCGTAAAACATATTCTGGATAAGTTGGCGGTTCATTTCACTGTGGCCATCCCAGAATAATAAAGGGACTAAGCTGAAAAGAAAATGAATGAATGAATGAATGAATGAAGGAATTAATTAATGTGTTAAAACATCTTCTCAATTAAACAGCACTTGGGAACATTTGGAAAGGAATTTTAATTTCACAGGAGGGCTAACAATTTTGCCTTGAACTTTGTATATTTTACCTTCTCATACCTAATAATGAAATAAGCAAAACTATATACATATCCCTATTGTGAATATCCTGGCATTTATTAATTTTATACAAACGTTCATACATATATCATAATTTTTTTTTTACCTCTTCAAAATTGAATGTATTTTCTTTTCTTTAGACAAAGTCATTTAACTATTCTACCATTATTACATCAGAACTGGCATTTGCTTTTTTTTAAATTATATAAATTCATCAAATTGATAGAGCAATGACAGAATAAGCATTTGTGTGTGCTTTTCATTGGACCCATAGGCTACAGGCAGTATTCCTCAAAAGGCCAGGGTTTAAGTCCAGTGAAATACAAAGGAATGCAAGAGGCCATGCTTGGTAAGAGCGTCATTGACCGAGTCCGCGTGAATGTGACCGTAGTGAGTAGATCTTCACTCAGTTTGGATGGGGGCCATGAGTAAATAACCCACTCCATGGTCAAGGCCATCAGCTGCAGATGTCTTCACCTCGATTGTCTGTGTCTCCGTTCCGCATGGTCTGCTTATTTTTCTGTCATCCACCATCCACTGCTCACTTCATCATGCACACTTTTTCGGTGTTCTATGCACAAGAGGTCACGCCAACTCAGAGTTTCGCATGGAGAGTATATCGAACTAAACACAGGTTGACCGCTATGTAACCTTAAACTTCACACAAAATCCCAAGCATGGCTGATGCTGGTCTAAATGTTCAGGTGGCACAGCACTGACCCTATCAGAAGTCGAGTGTAGTTGCTAACCCCACCCCATCCTGCAGGCAAAGGCCGGCTTGGCTCTCGTAGCCAATCCCTGCGCTCGGTGGACAGCCGTAAACGAGAGGACTCTGATAAGACCCGCAGCGGACAGCAGTCTTCCCAAACAGGTAAGAAAACAGGTGGCATCAGCCTCCTCTGCAGCTTGGGGTCACACACACAATACACACTTGCAAGCGTTTCACTCACTAGTGCACATATACAGGGGAGTAGACTGGATGCGTATGTGGCCATAGCCTTATTTTTTTGTTGGTTTGGTTTTTTATGGTCCTGTCAGCTTGATTTATGTTTTGTTTGTCTTTACCACGTGTATTATGGCATGGTTCATGGAGGAACATCCAGATATCCATGAATCATGGACACCATTGCTTACAAGGAAGCTCAAGAAAGTGTTTTGAAACCCTGTATTATTATGAAACAATATGAACAAGGCATACCTTGCTTGGGGGTGGTGGTGTTTGATCTGCATGCTTTATCGTTAAAGACATTTTTGGCCTTCTAATATTCCGTAATCCCTGGTGTTTAGAATTTTCTTTGTGAGTGCTGCATGGATTTGTCTTTCATTTTTACCACCAATAAGAGTCTATCACTTCAAAATAAATGTCATTTTCCTGTATTTTATTCCAGTGTGTCGTATGCTGTGAATCAAAAATGAATGACTCCATAAATACAGAAGCTTCTGTGGATGGCTTTGTAAATTTTTTGTCTGCTTTTAGAAGCAAATCTATAATTAATCTGGGCACAGAATATGGTGCACTGCTCCTATTGTTTAGTATGCATGTGCAGGGTTTTGATATGTAAACACAAATGAGTATAATGTTCCTCCAGGATGAGGTTGAATATTTACCTCCTTATCAATTTTCATTTTGACATTCAGTATTGTTCTATTGGGCATTCTTAATTTTCAATTTAGTTACACTGAGTGGTAATAATAGCCTACCTACTCCTATAGAGTGGAGGAACTATGATGTCACCTTGTAGGCTCACATGATAAACTCCCTATAGGATTTTCCCATAGTCCAAATCGGATAATCCTTACAAGGAAATACAACTTATAGTGCTTTTATATGTTAAATGCAAATGCAAGAACTAAAAAGCTAACATTAGGCTATAAACGGACTACAGTGCCTTTCAGGGCGCTCACCTGTGACATCAGCACCATCCTACTACAGACAACTTTTCAGGCTTATTTTTAGAAATATGGTCCATGACAAAGATTTACTCTGCTGGTTTATTATTTTATAATCCATGCTATATATTGTAAACAAATAAATACGCAAAAACACTTCTGTATATGGACCTACAGTACGTGCCATTTGGATAGTTTTTATGTGGATAATACATTTTGTTTTGCTTCACGGTTGTTGTAAAAGTTTTAAAACTGTATGTATAAATGTGCCTAGATAGTATTATCATAAGACATGTTTAAATTAGTGTATCGCTCGCGTGCATACAGCCTGCTTACCTTAGTAACAGACGACAGAAATGAGGCATAAGGGGCAAGTTTATATCTTTGATGGAACTTTTTTTGTCACTAAGTACAGCGAAAAGCAACCCATAAAGTTAAATGTATTCAAATGAAGAAAAAAACAGACAAAAAATCTATTGATCTTAATAAAATGACAGTTAATATGTATGTACTTTTATACATTTATTCACAAGTTTGCATTACCGGGAGCAGGAAAGAGACAGTCTGCACTGCTAAGCAGTATCTCCATAATATTGTTCAATTAAACTAAATGATCAACAAATTAATCTGTCTTGACAGTCTTTACAAGTTAAGGCATTATCTACAAACAATATGAATTTCCAATTAGAAAAATACTACAAACTATAAAATACTAAAACTACACAAATACTAATACTCCAAATGCACATAGCAAGCGGGCTGCGTTCCTGACCAGTTCAGCTCAATGACGTATTATGTTTCTGACACCGCCTGCAGTCCCATTTAGCAACTTGATAGCAACTGTCTTTTTAAAAAAAGCTAAACCAATTTTTAAAAAATCAAGAGTGTGATGTAACTGATATGTTTTATGTCAGAGTAAAATGTGAAAGTATCTTGAGTTTGTGTTAGCCACAAACCTTAATTAAGTGATTTAACAGAAATCCCATTCAAAATACCCATTGACTTTGGGATGAGAACCCTGGAACTGCTAAAATGCTAACTCGCCTCCAGGTTTTTGCATGCAAATTGATGTCATAGTTCCTCCACTCTATTGGACAACCCATATTACCCATTGAACTGTTAGAACTAAAATGCTTTCTATTGGACATTTAATATGCTACTCTTGCTTTGGAATTGCAACATGATTCCTTGGCTTTCCAAGTTGCTCAGATAATAAAGTCTGATCAATTGGACAGCCTTGTGAATTCCTCCTGTAGTAACTGACTTGCATATCCCAGAACTGAAAGCATGAACGTCTACCACGATGAAATGCTGAGGATATGGAACCAGCGAAGAAATGATTTAAGCCTCCCCTGATCGATGAGGCGGCTAATCCTGCATGCTAATTAGTTTTGGCCCTTTTCCTACCCTTTCCTCCACACCCTACCCCATCCCACTTCCCCTACACCCCTCTCAGTGGATTCTCCGTCGGGTGAGGAGTGGTCTGCGTGGAGCGTGTGTTCGGCCACGTGTGGTGAGGGCTGGCAGAGCCGCACACGCTTCTGCGTCTCCGTGTCGTACAGCACGCAGTGCAGCGGGCCACTGCGCGAACAGAGACCCTGCAATAACACTGCTGTGTGTCCAGGTAAGCACAGCCCACCTCAGGCCTCTCCTCACCCCCACCATCTTCCTTATCCACCTTTTGTTACCCGCCCCACCTCCACTAAGGCCCGATAGCTTTGCCCACTCACTCTCCAGTTGCTGCCCACCTGAGGCTAACTCTCCCTGCGCTTCCATGTACGGCTGCTCCCCTTCTCAACCCTGGATGCTGGAGAGCCGTGGTAAGATGTTAATGGGTTTAAGTGCAGCATTGTCAGCTAAGTCCCTATAGTTCCCACTGCATGTAGGATGGACTCTCAGTCTCTATTCATTCCATTATTTCAGCTTCCCAGGGGGCCCAGACAAACATGTTTTTCAGATTAAAAAATGTGTCTAGCAAAGCACAATGATGTATTAAGTGCTAATCATATTATGCAGAACTTAGTCCTTGCACACTAAGAGTTCCATGTATACTTGTGGTTTTTATTCTCTGCAATTCTGTGTTCACACTGACAACTTTTTTTATATTATTTTATTTTTTTATTGGTGATTGGTGATAATAACTTGGCAGCCATATTTACAATTTAGGCTTATTTTGAAAACGTAGCCCTATATACGTTTCAGTAGATCGCAAATTATGTAGCCAGAATGGGGTTCAAGTTTGGTGAAGAACAGTTCCAGAAAGCAGGTAAGACAAAAACAAAAGCTAAAAAATAAAATAAACAAGCAAATAACAGTGTGAGAATGTGGTAAAATCTGAAAATGTGGTAAAAATCAGTCGAGGCCTTTTCTTTTTCGGGATTGCTTCACTATTAAACCTAATAAGTTAGGTAACCCAAACCGTTTAAGGAAACCTATTGCTACAAACCATTTGAGTTAGGAAACTAATCTAAATGAGTACTGTGAACTTACTCCATTTAAGTTGAAGTAATGAGGTATTTAATTAACTCATTAATTTCAACACTGGGTTCAAAACTTTTAGTAAATTTTAGTAAATTTTGAGTTGACTACACTCATTTCATTTGATAAAGTTGACTGTTGGGTTTTACAATGTTTTTGAAACACTGCGATTGGATTTAGAATAGTGGGTGGGTAGGTCAATATGTTTACAACACTATTGGTTGGGTTTAGAAAAGGAGGGTGGGGGAGCTGTCAGTTGGTCAGTCTGTCAGTCAACAGCAGCCTCTGGCTGATTTATGTGAGAACACCAGGAGCACTCACGAGAGAAATTTGAGATCTGAAAAAGGGTACACAGCGGCCTCTGGTGTATTCGCGAAAACAAAAACTGGAAAAAAACGTACCTCCTGGGTCGTATTTTGCTCTCTCCAGGGACATGTAATTAGAATGAGCCTGGGTTGCATATTTACCAAATGTGTAAATACAGTACCACAATCCCAAAAACTTCTTGCCAAATTTACCTTTAACTAGCATGTTTCACATTAGCAGATAAATTTGTCTAGATGTTATTTTCTTTCACTTCTGGTTGGCTCAGTCATGTGCTATTCTGAGCACAAATTTCAGGTTTCTGTAGAACCCAAATTTCTAACAGTTGCAGCAGTGACTCAATGACTTTACCAGCTGCCAACTGGGTCATTTATTTGGATGGCAGCCCTTCTGTTCGTAGAGGCGCCATGTTGCAGATTGCCATTTCTCCAAAACATGGCATAAGCAAATTGTCTTGGCCATTATACAGTCTTTGCTACAACCCAAGCTTATTTTGATTGCATACCCTTATATACATTTTGGAGAGAGCAAAATACATCCTATGAGCTACGTTTTTTCCGCAGTTTTTGTTTTCTCAAATCCACCAGAGGCTGCTGTGTATGCTTTTTCAGATCTCAAATTTCTCTCGTGCCTGCTGTTCTCACGTAAATTCACCAGAGGCCACTGTTGACTGACAGATTTACTGACTGACCATCGGGCCGATGCTCCCACCCTCCCCCTTCCCTAAACCCAACAAATAGTGTTACAATTTTATAACATTCTCACCCTGTTAGTTACTTGTTTTATTTTTTAGCTTTTTTTTTGTTGTTTGCGTTCTGGAATTGTTTTTCTCCAGATTCGAACCTGTGGTCGCGGTCAGCGCTGCACAGTCTTAAGTCCGCCAACACACATGTCGAGCAGACTGGATAAACTGGCAAGCTGGTAAGCGAGAAAAAGAACGGTGTCATACCGCCCTGTAGAGTTTGTTTTAAAGATGAAATGCAGCCATATGTAGCACTGGCTATATAATTCACAGTCTCCAGAAATATATAAGGGGCTACATTTTTTAGACTGAGCCTATGTTGCTTTGCTAGTATGTGTTCCTGTCATAACAATATTGGTGGGATACTTAAAAGGGTTATAACTTTTTTGAGTTTCTGATCACAAACAAAAGCGATTTATTTCAGGTATAAGACTTCCTTCTACTTAGACAGGGAATCGGTTTTCTTGCTGCTAAAAATAAAGCAATAATTGCCGCAATACATCATATCCTGAACAAGATGAACAATAATCAATGCATAATACTCAATGTCTTCGCTCCTATTGGTAGACATCCCATTACGTCGCTTCTCATTAAATTTTTCTCAACCTTATCTCATCCCAGTCACTCATATCTTCGTGAAATTGCCAACTCCCATTGGAAATGTATGAATTCAATTCCCTTCAGACTGTTGTCAGTGTGAACTTCTCTTTAGTTTTTCTCCAGTGCATGTGTGTGTTTGTCGAAATGCGTTTTTCTCTCTATAAATCATGCCCTAGCCGCTCTGATTACAGAACATGGGGCGTGGGGCGAGTGGACACCATGGAGCTTGTGTTCATCAACATGCGGCCGTGGCTACAGGGAACGCAACCGCTCCTGCAAGCCACCCCAGTTCGGAGGAAACCCCTGTGATGGTCCAGAGAAACAGACTAAATTCTGCAACATCGCTGTATGCCCAGGTGATCTTCGGGTCTTTAAATACAGACTGCCTCATACAGATTTAATGACTTCCATCAAGCAGCACAATTAAAGCCTAATGTGAGGCACTGTAGGAGCAGGAGATTGAAAGAAACCATTGTGAAGTTCCCAGCAAATGATGGTGATTAATTGAGGCTTTAAATCACTATGGATTGGACTAAAGTTTAGCAACCCAAAGCTCGTCTTCCATTCCCCCCGCAATATATCTTTCAGTAATGTGCCCTTATCACGCAAGCCTCACTTTTGTCTTCCTAATGGCACTTTGTATTTTCTATCCTCATTCAGAATATTTTTCAGTCTCTTATTCTGAGTCTTTTTCTCTGTAGTGGATGGCGTGTGGAACGAGTGGTCTGGTTGGAGTTCCTGTTCTTCAACTTGTTCGAATGGAACAATGCAGCGAATTCGGGAGTGTAACGGGCCCTCGTATGGGGGCTTAGAGTGTCAAGGCGAGTGGCACGAGACACGGGATTGCTTCCTTAGAGAATGTCCTGTGGATGGCCAATGGCAACTTTGGAGCACTTGGTCTGGTTGCACCAAAACCTGTGGTGGAGGAAGTCAGCAGAGACAGAGGCTGTGTTATGGTCCCTTTTTTGGGGGAGAGGCATGCCCGGGGGACCGAGAAGAAGTTAGACGTTGCAATGAGAAGCGATGCCCAGGTAAGACAACCATGTTGCTGTAGTCTAAACTTATGGTAACACTTTATTTTGATGGTTCATTTGAGTATTAGTTGACTTGCTTAAAATCTGTTGATACTGCTCCTTCAACAGACATTTAACTGACTAAGAAACTTTGCAAGTACATGTCAACTTAACCCTAACCCCAACCTAACAATCTACTTATAATGTAATGAGAATCAGTTGGCATGTAGATGCAATTTAACTTAAATTCAACAAATGAACAATTAAAATAAAGTGTGACCAAACGTATTCTTACTATGGCTGAGTTTTTTGTATGTTTGTGCTTTCTGAAATCTTTGGTTTTATGCAGAGCCACATGAAATCTGTGATGAGGAGAATTTCTCTAATGTAGTGTGGAAGAAAACACCTGCAGGGGACACAGCGGCTGTCCGCTGCCCACCAAATGCTGTAGGTAAGACCTGACTCATGCAAACACAAACAAATTGGAATGACTTTCTAAGCAGTCATCACCCTCAAAGCTGTATTCAGACGATTTCAGGACCATGGACAGCTCCAGAAGCTTGGATTTAAGAAGGAAACCAACAACACAGCATACAGTGTTTGAATCAATCTATAATTTTGTCTATGTCTCTGTTCATTTATTTTATTATATGTTGTTCAGTTGGGCTTTCTGTCTAATTATCTATGTGTCTGACTATCTAATGTCTATCTTCTTTCTCCACAATTTCTCCACAAAAAAGTAAATTTATGTTTAATAGACGTAAAATTAGACATCTTGGCCTAAACCAGGCTAAATTTTGGCTGTGATTGAAAATCTGATCTAACAATATTCCAAAAATAATCTAGTCATCAAATGGTCATATTAGACAGACATCACATGCATAACCTGTTTATTTGTCTTTTTTTAAAAAAAATCGTTGGGACATTCACACAGAATGCACACAGAATGCATTTTTCCATTCAAAATATGCCCTATACTTATATATTTTTTTGTTTACATACCTGATGGACATACGTGACCATTACACTCCCATCTCACTTTTTTTTTTTGCAGCTCCTCGCAAATAAGCGTCATGTTTTTAAGATGTCAAGTGATTCAAGCATTTTTTTAAACTACTCCTGAGCACTCACTTCTAAGTTTGGTGTGAATAGCCTTGTTTTAGCCAAGACGTCTATTTTTATATGTGTTTTAACATAATAATGCTTGCTGTAATCTATCTATCTATCTATCTATCTATCTATCTATCTATCTATCTATCTATCTATCTATCTATCTATCTATCTATCTATCTATCTATCTATCTATCTATCTATCTATCTATCTATCTATCTATCTATCTATCTATCTATCTATCTATCTATCTATCTATCTATCTATCTATCTATCTATCTATTATTACAGTGTTTGACCAATCCTCATAATAGATTTGGTAATCATGTCTTACATCTGTGATGCAGGATTAATTCTACGGCGATGTTCATTAGACAATGAGGGTATAGCATACTGGGAGAACCCAACATATATGAAGTGCGTCTCAAATGATTACAGAAGTATCCAAACACTGGTAGGTGACCTCTAAACGAGCCCCCAACTAGGTATTAACTAAAATTGTGTCTGCAAATCTGATTTTTTTTTAATTATTATTATTCCAGACCAGAGATCACCTGTCCAAGGCGCAGCGAGGGCTTGTGGGGGATGGTGTTTCTGAAGTGATGACAAAGCTGAGGGTGACGTCAAGTGATGGAACGAGCTACAGCGGAGATCTTTTGGCTATCATAGATGTGCTAAAAAACATGACAGAGATATTTAGGAGATCCTACTACAGCCCCAGTAATGCAGACATGAGGGTTAGTGTGGTATTATGTGCTTATGGAAAGGTGCTATAGAATGAATAGCTGGATTTAGTTTGGCATAATAAAAGTTTAGTACATGTAACTGGCATACTGTGAGCCTCAAACTTAATTTCCTTGTTATCATGTATTTTTCTGAGTGCAAAATCTTGTTAAAAACAGGCCAATTGGAACTCACACTGACACTGATCCACACACACACACACACACACACACACACATATATACATATAAAATCTCATCACGGCTTACCAGAAAACCACTTTTGGGAAAGATGATTGATACATTTTTTTATATTCTAAATATGTACATTTATCCTGGATAATAAGTTTACAATCTTATGCCAGAAGGGCTATAATGTCAGAAAAGCTATGATGTCTCTTTAACTGTGTCATTTGTTAGTTTAACATGTTTATTGTACAATGTGTACAATTGTACTATGTGTGTATTGAGGCAGCAAACACATGTAGACTGCTGAAAAGAAGTGTTTAACGCATGTTTATGCATGTCATATCACTCAGCGCTAACAGTATGTTTTCTGGAGTGAGGAGATGCGAATAAACTTCAAAAACTCCTCTATTTATGTGGAGGTTCATGCCTCTGTTTTCATATGTTAAACTACAAAATACAACCCTTGACTAAAAAATAATTATGATTTAAACACACTGAAAAAAAATCTGGATTTACCTTTTTTTTTAAGTTAAGTGCTTGTAAACAATTCATTTGGGCTAAATTTAAACAAACAAATTAAATTCAACACATATACACTGTTTTCATCAATTTTGCAGACTTAATTTTGTGTGTGTGTGTGTGTGTGTGTGTGTGTGTGTGTGTAGGCTATATGTGATCCACAACAGGAAACTTTAATTTCACTCACTCCTTCTAGCTAAAATAAACCTCTACATTAATCATATTCACAACTGTTCCAAAATATGGTCAAAACCAAGCTTTATTTTCTGGGGTGATTTTTTGTATAAAAATGGTTTTATATAAAACCATTTCTGGAAAATTTCTGCACTCACCTAACCCACATACCTATATCAGAGAACACTGTAACATAATGAATAAGCACTCTATGGCACCTTTAAAAAAATAATTAAAATAATTGGTTCTTACTGCTTCTGAATGTTATTTTGTTCACAGAATTTTGTGCAGTCTGTGAGTAACTTACTGATGGAGGAAAACAGGGACAGGTGGGAGGAAGCACAACTGGTGAGTAAGCCCTCAGTATCTCTCTGTCTCTCCTGTTCACTCTTTCATTCATCCACTCACACATTCATCATTCACCCATTCTCTCTTTATAATGTTGACATCCTTTCACTCTCTTTCACTTAGTAATTATGCAAGTTTCAGCTGGTTTTAAAAGTGATTAATTGGCTAATTCTCTTCTCTCCACTGCACATCTTTCTTTCAGCTGTTTGTCTCCCGCTGTTTAGTTAGATCATTAGTTAGTTTACGATTTATGCCTTAACGCAAGCTTCAGTTTACATTCTGAAGCAAGGATATCATTAAGCTTTTGCAGCAGCAAAATCAAACGATTATCATTGTAATTTTAAATATTTTTCTTACAAAAATATTTAAAATGCACTTATGGTAAATAACGTTAAGCTCTGTTCTTCTTCCAGCTGGGACCCAATGTTAAGGAGCTTTTTCGTCTAGTAGAGGACTTTGTGGACGTCATCAGCCTTCGCATGAAGGACTTCCAGGATACTTATGAGGTCACGGATAATCTAGGTCAGTTTCCTCTGACATTTATATTTCTGAAATGATGTCATAAGGAGCTACTTTAATAGATGGATATATGGGCAGGAAGCTACAAACCCAAGAAAGAACTGGAGATTTGCATGAAACAAATTACAATAAAAAGTAATTAACCATCTGATGCATAGTGGCCTTTTCTGTGAAAAGGTCTTGAAAGCCCATTTGTAACGATTCAGGGTGTTATTTTACATGCAGATCTTTATAGATAATACGTTTTTTTGTAGTTTCATAAATGACTCTTAGTCATTTTTGCAATTGTGGTTTTTATAATGATGAAGGATTAAAGGAACACTTCACATTTAAATTAAAAAGGCTCATTTCACAAGTAACCTAGGGTAATTTAGTTGAGTTTAACCATTTTTTTAATCAATTCAGCCAATCTCCAGGTCTTTTAGCTTAGCTTGGCATAATCATTGGCTATTGGATCAGATCATTAGCATCTGTAAATTATTATCAGTATTTTTTTTATTTAAAGCTTGACTCTTCTCTAATTACATTGTTTACTAGACGAAAAATTAAAAGTTGCAATTTCCTAGGTTGATGTGGCTAGGAAGGGGCTCAGTAGTTAGCACTATCGCTAAACAGCCAGAAGGTCGCTGGTTTGAGTCCTGGCTGGGTAAATTGGCATTTCTGTGTGCAGTTTGCATGTTCTCCCCATGTTCACATGAGTTTCCTTCTGGTGCTTCGGTTCCCCCCACAGTTTAAAGACATGCGATATATGTAAATTTAATAAACTAAATTGGCCGTAGTGTATGTGTGTGCATTTAATAGTGTATGGGTGATTCCCAGTGCTGGATTGCAGCTTGAAGGGCTCTGTAAAACATATGCTGGATAAGTTGGTGGTTCATTCTTATGTGGCGACCCCTTGTGAATAAAGGGACTAAGCTGATGGAAAATTAATGAGTATGGCTAGGAACTACTCTTCCACTGTAATAATCAAGGGATGTTGCTGGCGTACCAAGTGCAATGATAGTGCTGTTATTTAGAGGACATTTTCAGGCACTGCAAAATATATTTGTGCCTGCTTTAAATAGGAAAGTACAAGAAGTAGATTTTTTGAGTGAGATGCTAATAATCTAACTTGATTCAATGATTTATGCTGATCTAAGCTAAAATGCTCCTGCCAAACCCATGTATTAGCTGAATAGTTTAAAAAAATGGTAAACTTTTGAACTGTATGCGACTTTGTAAAATAAGGCCATTTCCAAAAAATGTTCCTTTATTAACATCTGTCTCAGGGCAAATCTAAAATAATTTACCCATTTTAATTAGTTAACAGTCTGAATCATGCGTCTCTATTACATTGATCCACAAATGGTAATACACAAGAATTCTTATTAGAAATTCAGAGCTGTGAATGAGTCTGTCCCTAACATACAGCTCACAAAGACTTCCAAACATGTGGGCATTTCTAAAGCTTTGGAATCACTCACAAAAGCACGCACATCCCTCCAGCAAAGACTGGTTTTACTCAGCATTCAGGTTCACAAACTCAGCGAGAAGATGAACCGCCATGGTCATACGTTGTGGGCCGCAGCTGGCAGAGTTTAAAAGGGCGCGTGAGGGGTGGCATCAGGTTCTGTTTACCTCTGAATCACTGCGCTCTGATTCTCCCATATTGCCAACACCTGTCCTACAGCAATGACCCATCAGTCCCACACAAAGCTTTAAGACACGGATATAATAGATGCGTACGTAACACCACGCATATATATATCAAACTATATCTCATTTAGCACTAAAATGATTAATTATAGGTTTAATGTTTGGGCTTATTCTCTTTTTTCAAAATAATAATAATAAAATTGTATGTATATATATATATATATATATATATATATATATATATATATATATATATATATATATATATATATATATATATATATATATAGAAAGAGAAAGAGTACAGAAAGGCCATTTCACAATACACAGAATGTTGAACACAACAATATACAATAGCATCAAGACAGCATACAAAAAAATACATTAAATAAGAAAGTGTGTAGGCTGAAGTGTGTAGCTTTTTCTCTCTGAAAGTTTTAAGCCACAACAAATTGATGTAGAGTGAAGTGTTTAATGTGCATTTTTATGTGATGTTGAACAGAGGGTGGGACGTAGTGTAGCTCCCCCCTCCGCTTTTTTTTCACAAAAAACAGCCAATAGTATTTTGTTTTATTGCATTATTTTGTTTTGTGCATTAAATGTAAAACATCTTGAAGGGGGCGGAGCATGTAAGATTCTAAAGATCATTTGATTGGTTATTATTTGATGAGAAACTGAAGTTTGAGGTGATGTGAATTAATCCGTTCATCCATTTAGGCGGAAGTGACAAACTACAAAATTTACATGGTTATATCAGTTTTATTGAGTATTTTATTGAGTTTTTATAGTGTGCACTAGCTTATAGGCAGGGCCGGACATAACCAATAAGCAAGGTAAGCATTTGCTTAGGGCCTCAAGGAATTAGGGGGCCCCGAGCAATGCCAAGAAGCCTTTATTAATTATATAGATCTTTTATAAATGTTCTATCATATGTTGTAAAATCTGTTATCATCTAAGGTTGTTATATTAATGTTGTTACTTCTTTTTCAAAACCATGGACCCCATGGAATGGTCGTTTCATTCTGCACATGTAAATAATAAAATCCTCTCAGAAATATGGCCAATTAACTGTACTAGTTAGTTTGTGACCTTGTTTTGTATTTGTAAAAATATTGCATTTAATTTTACATTAAAAAGATAAAGGTTTAATTTAAAATATATTTTTTAACATGCAGTTTATTTACAAAAAAATGTCTATAAAGAAAGAGACTGTTTTGAGTTTAAGTGCTAGGGCCGCATACATGGAATGGCTTAGGACCCCCAAATTACAAAGTCCGCCCCTGCTTATGGGTATCCTATAAATGAACAATACTGATACTTACATCTAAAAAAAGTTTTTTTTTTTATTCCATAGGACCTTTAAAATTACTTGGTTTGTTGACACATCAGAAAATAAATGCAGAATCTTCTGCTTAAACCCATTCATACTGAATGTAAATTGTCCCATTACGCTGAATGCAGTAACTTAAGCACAAATGGCTTTCTGAAAGATTTACACAGATTCTAGCATCAAGTTTTCTAAATAAATAAGCCCAGGTCTTTTACTAGGATTGTAAATTTCTTCTGTGATTGAAATGTGGTGTTGCGAAGTGCTACAGAGAATCTGGCTGGCAGCAGGAGTTTGTCTGACAGCATTGAGATGTGATCGCTGTTCAGTGAATCAGGATATTGGTGCTGCTGTGGGTCTTACTGTTCCCGGATTCTTCTTCCAGTGTTGAGCATTCACAAGCGGCCCGTGGCTGGAAATGCAGATATCACTTTCCCTATGAAGGGCTGGAGGGGGATGGTGGACTGGGCTCGCAGCTCTGAGGACAAAGTCAGAGTGGCCAAAAACATCCTGCTCACTGGAAAACCGGGTAGGAAACACACACAGTCAGAAACAACTTCACACACATATGCTTGAAAGCACAGAAGCCTAGTTGTTACTACACATAATTCAAATGCATTCAGCTTTGGCGTTCAAATGCAGTAAGTTAGACTAAGCTTTTGTTTCGCTTTTGTGTTTTGCTTTGTTTCGCTTTATTTTCTTTTGTTTTGTTTTTTGTTTTGTTTCGCTTAGCTGTTTCGTTTTACTTTGCTTTGTTTTGTGTTGTTTTATTTTGCTTTGTTTCGTTTCACTTTGTTTTGTTTTGGTTTGTTTTTTGTTTCACTTTTTGTTTTGTTTTGCTTAGCTTTGTTTAGTTTTGCTTTGTTTTGTTTTGCTAAGCTTTGTTTTGTGTTTTGTTTTGTTTTACTTTGTTTTGTTTTGCTTTGTTTTGTTTAGTTTTGTTTCACTTTTTGTTTCACTTTTTGTTTTGTTTCACTTTGCTTTGTTTTGTTTTGTTTTACAAATTTCTTTTTTAATCAAAATAGTTAAAAAATTAGATTTCACAAATTTTAACAATTTAGTCCATCTTGGTCAGAATTTACAGTAAGGTTGCATTAGTTAAGGTTGCTGAATGTATTTACTAACCTGAATTAAGAATAAACTAAAATTAATTTATTTATCATAGTTAAACATTTACTAATGCATCATTAAAATCTAAAGTTGTGCATGTTAATACTATAAGTTAATGAACTGTGATTTAACGAGAACTACCAATGAATGACTTTATTTTTAAAGTGCTGCATTATATTTATATTGAGTTACACCAACTGACATATTGAGATTATCATTTCTTCAGATATTATGGTGAAACATTTGGCAGTCCTTTCTGAATCACTTATGCAATTATACTTGAAAATTTTTATCATTATTATTTTCTAACATTCTTACTATTTCCAAACTGCATTGCATTTTATTTCCTGATTTCCCTTTATTTCTCTCCCTTTCCTCTGGCATCTTTCCTTGACAAATAGCACAAAATTCATTGTACAAGCCAAGTAATATTTATTGTTAATTTTGTAAGTTTTATGATGTTTACGATGTCCTGCGCTGAATTGAAGCAGGCTGTTTAGTGCTTGCCATGCCCACCGTTACAGGCCATTAAAAAAGCTCCTTCCCCCGTGACTATGCTAATAGAGGAGTTGCTACTTAATCAGGAGTCGGCAGGAGCCAATCAGACGCAATTAGGTTTAATTCCTCCTCCCATTGGGAGATCTGTTGCCATGCCAGCAGCAGTGGATTGACAAGTCATCAACTGCTGAACATGCTGAGATGAGCTTTCATATTAAAGATGTATTAGAAAGAGGTAAATGAGAGAGGGCTTTGACAAACTCAAGCATGCAGGCAAATGCTCTCATTTAACAGCTAAACCAAAGACTCATGTACTGTCCTGTACATCTGCTGGTTTAGTTGTTTAAAACCAGTTTTCACACTCAGACTAATATCAAAGTCCCTTTAAGGCAAGTCAATTCACTTGGTGGCCATCTTTGAAACACCTCTGGGTCAGTATGCTCGGGAATTCTGTCTGAATGGGGAAACATCAAATTTTCTAAAACTCCCCCGGAGACTCATCAGTCTATAGCAATCATTGATTGGCTCCTGTACTAGAAAGCAGGCGTTATTTGCCATATAGCAATAGATGATTGGCTCCTGAACTAGTAAGCAGGGCTTTAGTCACCACATTGACCATTACACTTTTCCCCATTCAAAAAGATACAAGTGACATGTCTTGTGTATTCTATAGTCTTTCTTGCTAATATCAAGAAAACTTAGAGATTGCTCACTAACTAACTAACCAACTAACTAACTAACTAACTAACTAACTAACTAACTAACTAACTAACTAACTAACTAACTAACTAACTAACTAACTAACTAACTAACTAACTAACTAACTAACTAACTAACTAACTAGCTCACACTAAAATGCTAGTCAAGTCCATATGAACCAGAAGTTGCTAAGATTTTTTTTCTTTTTTTTTTTATATGTTGATGTATTTTCAACTGAAACAGAATATTTAGTAGGGCCAGGGTATTTTTTTCTTTCTTTTTTCTTTTTGCACCATTCCCTATTAGCAAACTAAAGCTTTCAAATGACAGCAAAAGAGAAAACCCACCACTCCAAACACAGGAGCAAATGGTCAGACTTTGAAAACAAACATTAAAAAAATAACTTATAGCATGAAATAACTTATAGCATGGACATAACTTGCACGGATTAATTGTTTATATTGAGAGTAACAATGTGCACTAGTAAAAATAACATTGGAATTTTTGATTTCACACAGACTTTAAATGTATTGAAGCCAAAATAGACACTTAAGTGAAAAGAAAAATATTTGATTTTTTAAATTATTAGTTTACTAATAAAGTACTATTTATTTACTGTTATTGTTAATTTTTTTATAGAGCAATAATAATAATAATAATAATTATTATTACTTTTTTCATAAGCAAAAACAATTTCAGCCTTTATACATAATTTTTTTGTTAGTTTATGTCAACATATTACTGTTTATTTGTAAACAGGAGTGAAATGTAATAGCATAACAAGTAAAAATGGTTTCATAATAAAGCTTACATTTATTTTAGATGAACAAAAGTAATAATAAAACAATCTTTTAGATTTGTTTTTCCTTTCTATTTTTTACTTTTAGCATTCTGCAGTGCATGTTTCTAGTGTCTTGTGCATTTCTCTAGAACCCCATGTTGCACAAAAATGCCCCCTTGGGTCTCATCTGTTCCCTTTATTGTGGCTATGGCATATTAGTAAAAGGGAAGGAGGGTTGGGCAAGCAAAATCTCCATTACATTCAATCATGAGTCTGTGTTCTTGCCCGTGGGAGCTCAGCTGCAGGCCTGGAGCAGTGGCCTCAGCCTGTTCTCTCTCTTTCTCTCTAGTCTGACACATGTTTGGCATGGGCTGCAGCAGTGTAACTTTAAGACTAGTGTGTGGTGGTCAGAGCTTGTGTATACCTTGTATTCCTCATGTTGTAAGGTGAAGTGAATCGTTACATCTCTACAAATACAGATAGTGTGTGTATATGAATATACACACACATACACACACACACACACACACACACACACACACACACACACACACACACACATAGTGTATATTAAATATAAGTGTTGTATTGGCTTTCATTTGACATATGTCTACACTTGGCCTATATATGTGTTTGATGAAGGTATGTGTAAGCATATGTTAAATGATTAGTCATGTTCCTGATTCATATTCTGAGCAGCTACAGGGTGAAAAAGGAAGTGACAGGATTCCGCAGTCTCACCTACAGTTATATTACACTGCTCTAAATAAAGACTATGCTGTATGTCTTCGTGACCTTTTTCTTTACAGCTCTTCTTTTCTCCATCCTTTTGCTTTATGACTGCTTCACAGGAATGGGGGTGATATCTCTGGTAAATGTGTATGTGTTTGTGTTACAGAAGAAGATGACGCTTCAGCTTTTGTGACTGGGATCGTCCTGTACAGAAACTTAGGCAGTATTCTCTCTCTGCAGAGGTGAGACTTTGCTTTTTTCTTCATCCAGTTGAAAGGTTAAATTTCTATTAAATCTCTGTTGCTGTGTTCTTGGTTTTATATTTTATTTTAGATAAAACAGATAGCACACAATGTAAGACTATTTGTCTTTTGATAGCGTTTATTTGCCCTAGAGTGCATATATGCTTTAGCTGTACATTTTTAGCATTATTTCAGCATAAATGAAAGATTTGCATTCATGGTTGCATGAAATTATTGTTAAAAATTGTCTTTAGCATACTGAATGAACAAAAAAGTTCTTATGACAGTTGTTCACTGAAAAGTTCTTTGGAGAACTCAAAATGTTTTTTATAAACTAATGAAAGTGAATGCATGTAACTACACTAATAGCTCTGATGTATTGATCCAGAAATTGGGATTAATACCTGGCAACCCAAGTACAGCTGAATAAGTGGGTGAGGAAGTCACTTACAGTATCATCTAGACTCATCCTCGACTTGTTTTTTTTCTTCTTCTGTTAAACACAAAGATTTCGAAGAATGTTGGAAACTGGTAACCATTAATAAATACTATCAAAAGTAGATGTTTGGAAACTGGTAACCACTAACAAAAATGTTGATAAATACTATGAAAGTCAGTAGTTACCAGTTTCCAAACACTAACTTCCAAAGTATACGTCAATGGTTACCAGTTTCCAAACATCGACTTCCATCGTATTTGTCAATGGTTACCAGTTTCCAAACATCGACTTCCATCGTATTTGTCAATGGTTACCAGTTTCCAAACACTGACTTACATAGTATTCGTATTCAAATACTATGGAAGGTATTGTCTGTAAACTGTGAACTGGTTGGAGGGAGTAAATAAGCGATGACTTAGTTTTTTTTTTTTTTTGGGGTAAATTACTTCGTTTAAGGGGGTGTCTACAATTTACAAATTGGCCGTAGTGTATGTGTGTGAAAGAGTGTGTATGGGTGCTTCCCAGTGTTAGATTGCAGCTGGAAGGGCATCTGCTGCGTAAAACATATGCTGGATAACTTGGTGGTTCATTCTGCTGTGGCGAATCCTGATTAATAAAGGGACTAAGCTGAAAAGAAAATGAATGAATGAATGAATGAATGAATGAATGAATGAATTTCTTTTAATGGTGTTTAACATTGTGGATTAATTGTATATTGCTATGGCGTTTTAATCTGACAAATTTCTAAGCAGCTACTGTAAATAAAACTAAGGCATTTAATTCTAAATATATTATAAACATTAACATCATGAATATTGATTTGATCACATTATGAGAGTGATATTCATGGTTATAGCTTAAATTTAAAAGGTTATCATGCAATTGGCTAAATAAATGAATATTGAGGACAGAGTATAAAGCAATGTAAGGGCTCTCTGCTGGATTTTTTACTGGGATGTGGCAACCCTGCTTTCAAACAACATGACAGTCGGCAAACAACAAAACTGCATTTTTTCAACTATAAAGTTGTCTCGCATATAGCAATAAAATAACATAAGCAGCACAAAAATATAAAAAATACACTTTGTCTTTTACTCAGCCTTTCTGAATTGCTGAAAAATGTCTGAAAATAATGTAATGTCTTTAGGTGCAAAAACGCTGCTATTTTTTTTCATTGTTATTTAGTTTTATTTTTTTCTTAGTCTAAGCAGACTTCAACCGTTTATTTTTTACTCATTTCCTGAATTATATATTGCTTTTGAAACTGATACCTAGTGACACTTTTTGTTATTTTTTTCAAGTAACATGTATTAGTGGATAAATAAATGTGCATATACTGTATTAGCCAATGACATGTACATTTATGGCAGCACAGTCTCATACAATATTTGTGACATGCTGAAAATGTTGGCTTCTCTGAAGGTCTTGACCTCCACTCTGCGTGTTCTCCTGATGTTTTTTTTTCCTCTTTTTTTTGTTGTATTTTTCACAGAAATAGCACAGTGCTGAACTCCAAGGTGATCTCTGTGACAATCAAGCCCACTCCCAGCTCTCTCTCGAGTCCACTAGAGATTGAGTTCTCACACCTTTACAATGTAAGTCAGCCTGCCCTTTAAACCCATATGCTGCACCAAACAAGACATGTTTACAGTCTCATTTTTTAGTATCATTCAAAGACTGGAAAACTGACACTCTCTGACAGATTAAAGCATAAGCATACATTTACTCACTATTTACTCTGCCTCTAAACCTTTACGAGTTCCTTTTGCTATTAAAGTTATTTTGAAAAATGTTAGTAATCGGTGACCATTGACTATAAAATGAAAAACAAGTAGTATAGAAGTTGATGGTCAGAGGTTTACAACATTTTTCAAAACAACTTCTTTTGTGTTCAGAAAACAGACAAAAATCAAAGCAGGTTAGTGATAATGATGGTGCACTTTCAGTTTTTGGTGAACTTTGCTTTAATATTTCATCAAAGGATTTGTGTTTTTATTCATTTATTTGTGTTTATTTATTATTTGCACAATTAAAATTGCACATATTCATCACACTATGTTGCACTAATTCATCTTGAATTGTACATACCCACTGTACATATATGTTTGTAATTATGTTTATATCTATCTGCATACCTCTGATTATTAATAGCAACCTGTGAATATATTCATCTAATTTAAATCTCTTTTCATAGTTAATACAACCTGTATTTAATGTTCATAGTACATCCATCTGTAAATATTAGCATAAGTTTTCTATAATTGCACTCTTTAATCTTACGCTTGCTGCTATTGCACTTCTGGTTAAACCTAAACTGCATTTCATTGCCTTGTAGAAGCAATGAAATGTACATGTGTAATGAAAATAAGGTTGAATCTAATCTAATCTAATGTTAATTAATGCAGTTATCTAATGTTAATGATTGAAACTTTGTTGGCAAATTCTTTATTTAGGGACTGTTTTTCTGTCTATAGGATCATTAAAAAGTCTTAAATTAAAAACACTGATTCAAGTTTTAAGTTAAAAAATAAACATTTGTATATTTTACTGAGTTTTTAGCCATTTAGCATTTACCAGTTTCATTTTTATCTCTTTATATGTATTTATTTATTAACTTTTTATGTTTTGGATTGATTGATTGATTGATTGATTGATTGATTGATTGATTGATTGATTGATTATACTTGTAATACTTTTATATTAAATTTGTATTTATGAATACAATTGTGTAACAGTTTATTTTTAATATATATCTCTGTCATTAACATCCCACCAAGCTGTTTTCACAATAAAGGTTTGTTCAAAGGTAAAAGGATAGTTCACCCAAAAATGAAGATTATGTCCTCATTTGTTCTCCCTTCACTTGTTCCAAACCTGTTTGTCTTTCTTTCTTCTGATTAACAGAAAAGATATTTTGAAGAATTCTGGAAACCTGTAACCATTGACTTCCATAATAAGTGTTGTTCTACTATGGAAGTCAAGTTTTCAGCTTTTAAAAAAAAACTTCTATGTGTTCAACAAAAGAAAGAAACTCATAAATGTTTGGAAACACGCGAGGGTGAGTAAATAGTGAGTAAAGTTTCATTTTTGGATGAACTATTACTTTAATGAACTAATCCAAGGCTCTTTTTGTGAGAAAATTAAATGAAAACACTATGTGTTTGTGCTTGAATAGAGTTTTTATTAACCTTATTCAGACAAAGTAGATTATTATAACAAGAAAATATCAGTTTGCAATATCAAGCAGCATAACGAGCTGTTTTTAACGTCTAAAAATGAATGTAAGTGAATGAGATCGGAAGTCTCGGGCCAAAAAGATTCAAATGGCTGCACCCACTTACATTAAGGATAAGGTGAATAGAGAGAGTTTTAATTATCAAAAATTACCCTGTTGCCATCACAAAAATCATCAAAAACAACAGGTTCATGTCAAGGCTGATTCTTATGATCAGGAAATTTTTCAAAAATCAGTTTGAAAAAATTTCATATTCTAAAATTCCTGTAGTTGAAAAGTGTCCCTAACTGAATAATAACCCATACATATTCCCAAAACGAAATCACAAGGTGACATCATTTTCTTCCCCTCACCCTTTTTTTTCTCTCAACAGGGAACCACAAACCAAACCTGCATTTCCTGGGATGAGAACGACAGGTGAGAAGGCGTTTATTGATTTAAATCTGCTTTTTTTTGCGGCGTGCTCAGAATCTTCATTCTCGCAGTAGGGTGTATTTTGCGAGCGTGTGTTGATAAAGGGTTAGTGACAGCGTGCTGTAAATGCGGGTGACATGGGAAGGTTGAATGGTGCTGATAGCTGTTTTGATCTTCAGTTGACCCAGCACTGACTCTACTTTGACACTGCATGATGGTGAACGCCTCGCTCCTTCTGTGCTGTACACACATCAGCTGCAATAACGGAAAACACATTTCCATTTATGCAGAGAAACAAGACAAGAAAGCAGGCTACAGTGGAAACTGAGGTAGAAAGAGAAGAGAGTCTACCAATGCAATGCAATGCATGAGAGTTATATGCCAATGCAATCTCAAGGCCATTCGTAAATGTTTGATTTAGTGGCTAATTTTGTAAAAATTTTTACAATCTCAATCATACAATTTATTTTGATTCATCCCACAACAAGGAGTATAAGCCCTTCTTTTAAAAAATATATATATTTTCAAATGAATGAAATTGTATGAATTAGTACAAATTATTGGCACTTTTCTGACAATACATTACATAGCTATGTCTCCATGTGAGATCGGGTTGTACTTGCTCTTATTGCCTATACGGGTATGTTTATTTGAAAAAATACTCTTATTCAGCAGTGACACATTTAGTTGCTTAAAAGTGACAGTAAAGAAAATTATTTAGATTTTTTTTATTTTACTTTCGATCAATTAAATCTGCACGTCATGATTTTGCCAAGTATGATGTAGTTCTGGATAAACATCTATTTTCATCCCTGAACATAATTTTTGTTCGATAAAAGTTCATTCATTGATTTTAGTTCAGCTTAGTCCCTTTATTCATCAGGGGTTGCCCGGAATGGATGAAACCCACACCAAGACAGGGAGAACATGCAAACTCCATTCATAAATGCCAACTGGCTTAGCTGGGACTCGAACCATCGACCTTCTTTACTGTAAGGCGACAGTGCTAACCACTGAGCCAACCTGTCATTGAACCATAACTGTAATTCACAAAATCAGAGGGAAATAATAGTTGAATAACAATCAGCTAGAAGTGCATAAACCTAACCGTAAGCCTAAACTTAACATAAACTCTAAACGTATCCCTTAAATCTGATTGGCTGATTGGAATGTTGTTCCAGAATCAACATAGATGTTAATCCAGGAACATGTCTTACTTGGTGAAATCAGATTAGGGATTAAATCAAGTCACAATAAGCATAACTGTAACATTAAAAAGCATTTTGTTTCTAATATAATTCACTTATTATTTATGTTTTCAAATAAATAGAACCTTACTGCAAAATTTTTATTTTATAGTAATGTATGTTAAAGAAAATGTATCAAATAAAATAAAATAAAAAAATGTATCAAATTCTTGCAATAAATAAAGATAGAAGTATAATTTTCAACAACTACAAATGCCATTCAAAAGTTTGGGATCAGTAAGACTTTTATGAAAAAAAATCTTTCTTTTTTTTCACAGTGACATACTAAATTAATAACAATTGGCAGTAAAGATCATTTACTTTACATCAAAATATTTTTACTTAATTATTTACATTGCATTTAAATATTTTTACTTGAGTTTACTTTTCGTCAAATAAATCCAACCATGGCGAACACAACTTTAACATAAAACAAATACTTAAAAAAAATTCCAAATGTTTATTATTGCATAACAGTTTGCATGCTACTTTTACATTTTATGCTACTTTTAATCTAGATTAATAAACATTACAAAATTACAGCACATCCGCTTAGTGGTTAGCACTGTCACCTTACACCAGTGGTCACCAAACTTGTTCCTGGAGGGCCGGTGTCCTGCACATTTTAGCTCCAACCCTAATCAAACACAGCTGAACAAGCTAATCAAGGTCTTGCTAGGTATACTTGAAACATCCAGGCAGGTGTGTTGAGGCAAGTTGGAGCTAAACTCTGCAGGGACACCGGCCCTCCAGGACCGAGATTGGTGACCCCTGCCTTACACCAAGAAGGTTGCTGGTTCAAGCCCCGGCAATGCCAGGTGGCATTTCTGTGTGGAGTTTGCATGTTCTCCCCATGTTCATTTGGATTTCCTCTGGGTGCTCCGGCTTCCCTCACAGTCCAAAGGCATGTGCTATAGCTGAATTAAATAAACTTAATTGACCGTAGTGTATGAGTGCATGTGTGAATGTGAGATTTAATGGGTGTTAACCAGTACTGGGTTTCCGCCGGAAGTTCATCCACTGCGTAAAACAAATGCTGGAATAGTTGGCGGTTCATTCCGCTGTAGCGAAACTTGATAAGGGACTACAGCTGAAGGAAAATGAATGAATGAATGAATGAATGAATGAATGAATGAATATTGCATAGCAGTTTGCAAATATTGTAAATTATTGCACTATTATTAATCATTCTAAAATTATAAAATTCAAGCATTAAATGTTTTCTCTTTGTCATTAAGGCAATTCTCCTTTCAAATCTTCGAACATTTTAAATGTCTGACTAAATTCCAACATTCAAATGGAAATCTCAATAAAGTCCTTAATCATCTGAATAAATCAACACTTTCAGCCTTTTATAACAATCTTCAATAAAACGAGAAACAACAGGTGAATCAGGACAGCTTAAACGCTTCACCTGCGGAATTTACATCTAAATTATTATCGGCACATCGAAAATGCACATCTCTGAGGCTCAATTGGAGAATCGTTATGTATTACCATGAGAATACGAGCGCTTTCATTAGCAAACATGAAGAGAAACGCATGTCGTCTTCATCTGGAGATAAAGCAGGCAAAGCTGGATTGTATTACTAAAAAAGGCAGACAGACGATCAGACAGATTTATGTTGTACTTTAACAAAGCACCATGAGCCTCCTGGTCATGCTTGTACTTTCACCCCCTACACATCCATCTGTTTGCGCTCTCTTTTGTCTTTTAAAGTTGCCAAAGACTAGTCTTCGCCCATAGCACTTAATGCAGTGTGGGTGGAACATTTGCATTTAGATGGATACATATAGATATGTTACAGATATAAAAGTTTTCTGCTGGTGCCTCGAGGGGATAAAGACTGGGAACAATAGAATTTAAAAGAAAAAAACTTGAAAAAACAAATCGGAAAAGTGCAAATCTTACTGGTCTGGCTATTAGTTGTCAAGGCATTGCTGTGTCGTTGTTAATGTGCTTTTGTTGTGTGCTAAAAAAGTTCATTATTTATTAAGCAAGGATGCATTCAGTTGATCAGAAGTGACTAAATATGATTGTTATGTACAGTGTGAGAATAATATTTCTAAAAAAAAGCAGCTGTTGACATGGAATTGAACCAGATTTTGGTAACTCAAACAATACAAACAGAAAAATAAAACAAAACTCTGAAAAATTTGTAATGTGTAATAACAATGAAATGACACAAAGAGAAAAATACTGACATATTTAATACCTTATACAAAAGGCTTTTTGGGGGATGGCAGCTTAAAGACACCTCTCATATGAAGAAAGAAGTCTCATGAATTGCTCAGGAATGAGTTTTTTTACAGACTTCAACTGAGTGTAAAATCTTGATAATTCTGTGGGTCTCGTCTATTAAATCTGATCTTTTTTTGGATTCTTTAATTAGATTCAGGTCAGGTGACTGGCTGGGCCATTCTACAGCTTGATTTTCTTTCTCTGCAACCATTTGAGAGTTTCCTTGGCTGTGTTTTGGATCATTGTCTTGCTAAAATGTCCACCCTGGTTTCATCTTCATCATCTTGATCATGTAGATGTTGTACTGAAGCAGAGAATATTAATTCACAATAACAAAGGGCAAAGGGTTGCTGAAAAACTACTGAGAGATTTCAACTGCTGTTCGGGATTTTACTGACTATCTACATCTCCCTTTCTTCATGTGTTTTATACTTTTTCCCTGCATCATTTAATTGTATTACACATAACTTAATTTGTAATTTTGCATATACCTGTAGAGATTTTTTTGGGTTGTTACCCCCTATCAGTTGAAAATTTCAAGTCAGCAGCACCTTTCGAAAGATGTTTTTCACGAGTTCACATTCATATAGAATATGCGTATTTGGCGTGCTGTCCAGGAAGAGGGGTCTGAGCTCGGGAAGACACCCTAACTCGTGTTATTCCCCTTATCGGATAAAGAGAGATAGGGTCCAAGCGCAGTGTCTAGCCTGCTCCAGAACGATCCCCCCTCAGATTTAAATAGGTACCTGTTTTAATAGTGTGGAGTTGGGGTGGTGGAGGGACGCTAAAGTCGAGGGAAAACGGAGGTATGACGTGTTTGACTATTTATAGGGGTTTGCTCTTGAGCTGATTGGATAATAAAATGATTGTGTGTGATGAATTAGCCTTGTCAAAGACTGATCGTGCTCCTCTCGAAATTTGTTTACAAAACATCACTTTGAGAAAATTATAGTTTCCCTCACTGTATGATAATGTTCTTTTGTATCATACTGTATATTCATCAAATAATCATAAAAATGGATCACAATTTAAACAAAAATACTGAAAATTTATACAAATGTGCACTTGTTCTTGAGCACATTCCAACTCAAGAACCCAGCAGTTGGGTTAGTCCCTATTATAAACAGAGTTAGGTTAAAAAGCATGATTATTTTACCTTTTTACTGTCTTTTTTTATTCAATAAATTACTTGCATAATTCTAGAATATTAATCTATTACTGAAAATATTTTGCATGACTGAAATTGTAATGTTAAAAATGCATTTGACTTTCTAAGAAGAGAATTAATACTATTTATTATCCGTGTACTTCTTAATATTTTTTAAAAGATTGAAAAACGAGAATCAAACAACTGTAATAATAATTTACTGGCACTTTGTCAATATTGAATACAGTTGAAGTCAGAATATTTGCCCTCCTAAATTATAAGCCCCCCTGTATTTATTTCTCCCAATTTCTGTTTAGCATAAAGAATTTTTTAACACATTTCTAAACATTCATTCATTTTCTTTTCC